CTGCTCCCACTGCCTCTGACTACATATGAGCCCCCACCTTCTCAGGCCTGGACCACTCAAAAAGAACCGCACATGGAACCCAGGACTTGCTTTCTGGGTCACTGGTCCAAAAGACTTGCCCTTAGCTACTCTTTCCTGCCCTACTTAGCACCCTTCTCTGCCATCTGCTGCAAGAAACGGTTCCTGTGCCCTGGGCTCTCAGCACTCCCTGCCATTCTGTCACACCACTCTCCTTCCCGGCCTGCTTCTACTACTCCTTCAAACAGCTCTGAGTTGGGATGGGAAGGTGGCTCAGTGGTAGAGCGCTAGCCTGGAGCTGAAGAGCTGAGGGACAGCGCCCAGGCCCAGAGTTCAGGCCCTACGACCAGCTCTGAGTTGCCTTCTTGCTGGACCGGGGGGGGGGGGGGGGGTCTCTCCCAGGTGCTGCCCTGACCTTCCACCTTCATTCCTGTAATTGTCTGCTGATGAGTCTGAGCAGCTGGAAGACAGGGTTGTGACTTTATGGCCTGCTTCCATCGTACCCAGCAGCACAGTAGGAACCAAGAGCAAATGAATTACCTTGTGTTCCTTAGTAACAGTGAGTCAGATGCTTGCTTAAGAGGAAGTATTTCAAGATCAATAATTAGAAATGATTTGAAGTAGAGTTCTCGGTCTCGAGTGAAAGGAAACCACGCAGTACAGGAACTGTTCCTCGTCAGCTGAGTCACACTGGCAAGCCGAAATCTAAAATAACTTAACCTCATGGCTACACAGAACTATTTGCAATGAATCAATGATCAAGAGTTACAAGAAACCACATCATTCGGGGAAGGAGGAATTGGGAGGTGCTGCAGAACAATGGGGGAGAGTCACACAGCAGTCATGGGAGGAAAAGGAGTAAAATCAAGGCCCTGAATTCAACCACCAGTGCCACCAAAACCAAGTAAGAATTGCTGACTGAATGTGCAGGATACAGTTTCTGCTTCAACTGTTGGCTCAGGGAAACCTTTTTCTCTCACAAAGAAAATGGGGCCACGTGGACACCATCCATTGACATTATTTACAAAACACTTTGAGAAGTCAATTTAGAATATGCCCTCTACCATACTCAAGAGAAATGTCTTTTTTTTTTTTTTGCCAGTCCTGGGTCTGGGCACTATTCCTGAGCTCCTTTTTGCTCAAGGCTAGTGCTCTACCACTTGAGTCACAACATCATTTTTTCTGTGATTAGAGCCGTGATCCTCAGATCTCAGCCTCCTGAATAGCTAGGATTAGAGGTTTGAACCACCAATGCCCAGCTTAAGAGAAATGTCTTTTTTAAAAGAATATAAGACAGCCATTGATGGCAGTGTGTATAATCCTAGCTACTCAGGAGGCTGATCAGAGGAACTGAGGTTTGGTGGTTCCAAGTCAGCCTAGTACCTAAGACACAAATTAACCAAAAAGCAAAAAACCCGAAGTGAGTATGTGGTCAAGTAGTAGATTGCCAGCCGTGAGCAAAAAAAGCCAAACAAGAGCTCAAGGCCCTGAGTTGGAGCTCATATACGAGCAAAAAAAAAAGAAAAGAGCCAAGCGCTGGAGGCTCATGCCTGTAATCCTAGCAACTAAGAAAGCTGAGAGCTGAGGATCACAGTTCAAAGCCAGCCAGGACAGGAAAGTCCCCATGAGACTCTTATCTCCAATTAACTATCAGAAAATGGAAGTGGCGTTGTGGCTCAAGTGGTAGAGCACTAGTCTTGAGCTGAAGAGCTGAGGAACAGCGCCCAGGCCAAGAGTTCAAGCCCCACAACCAACCAAAAAAAAAAAAATTTGTCCAAGTCTGGTGTGTGGCAAAAGACTATAATTCCAGCATTTTAGAGGCTAAGCCACTGAAGCAAGAGATGAAAGCCAGTATGGGCTACACAGTGAGACTGTATCTCACATATTATAGGTATATACATATTATATATATATATATATATGTATGTGTGTGTGTGTGTGTGTGTGTATAGTATGACTGAGGGGTTATAGATCAGTGGCACAGCTTATCTACTGTTAGGGGCCCTAGATTCTATCCACAGCATCACCATAGAAGAAAGAACAAAGAATCTATGAAGATTGCCTCAACATACCTTGAGTAATCAATTTTGAATTTGAACAGTTACTAACAATTTGTTTTTCATAGCTTAAACTTATACCAGGGAATAACAAAAGTTGCCTAAACATCTATTTGAGGGTAGAACATTTTTAAAAACTTTAAACCAGGGGCTGGGAAGGTGGCTCAGTGGTAGAGCGCATGCCTTGCATGCCAGAGGAGGCCCTGGGTTCGATTCCTCAGCACCACATAAGCAAAAAGAAAAAAGACGGAAGTGGCACTGTGGCTCAAGTGGTAGAGTGCTACACTTGAGCTGAAGAGCTGAGAGACAGCGCCCAGGCCCAGAGTTCAGGCCCCATGACCGGACCCAAAAAAACAAACAAACAAAAAACTTTAAACCAAACTGGCACCAGTGGCTCACGCCTGTAATCCTAGCAAAAAGAAAACAAGCAAGAGCTCAAGGCCCTGAGCTGAAGCTCAGAAACCACCCAAACAAGAAAAGAGCCGGGTGCTGGTGGCTCATGGCTGTAATCCTAGCTACAAAGAAGGCTGAGAGCTGAGGATCAAGGTTCAAATCCAGCCTGGGCAGGAAAGTCCATGAGACTTTTGTTTTGTTTTTGCCAGTCCTGGGGCCTGAACTCAGGGCCTGGGCATTTTCCCCAAGCTTCATTTGTTCAAGACTAGCACTCTACCTCTTGAGCCACAGTGCTACTTCCGCCTTTTCTGTTTGTGTGTTTATGTGGTACTGAGGAATTGAACCCAGGGCTTCATGCATGCTAGGCAAGCACTCTACCACTAAGCCACACTCCCAGCCCCCCCCCCCATGAGACTCTTATCTCCAATTAACCACCAGAAAACCAGAAGTAGAGCTGTGATTTAAGAGGTAAAGTGCTAGCCTTGAGCAAGAAAAAAAGTTCTCGGACAGTGCCGAGTACCCCAGGACCAACCCAAAAAACAAAAAACAGACAACTCTCAATGGCTTCGTGCCCAGACAAAGGCATCATCTGATTTACTACCTTTTGCTAAGCAAGCATCAATAAGAAAATAGAGCAGCCACCCTTCTACACTTCTGCTGCTTCTGGGTTCACCAATATGAAACTTGGGCTGGGCTGTTCTTTTTTGAGGGGGTTGGGTTGTTTGGGGTTTTGTTTTTTGATCATGGGCTTGAATTCAGGGCCTGGGCAATATCTCTGAGCTCTTTCACTCAAGGCTAGGGCTCTACACACAGTACCATCTCCATTTTCTGGCATTTAATTGAAGATAAGAGTCTCACAGACTCTTCTGCTTGGGCTGGTTTAGAACCTCAATCCTCAACTCTCAGCCTCCTATGATGCTAAGGTTACAGGTGTAAGCCACCAGTACCCAGCTGGGTTGTTTCTTTTGAGACACAATGTTGCTATGTAGTCCAGGCTAGCCTTGTCCTGAAGATCCTCCTGATCAGCCTCCTGAATACTGGCGTGGTCACTACTTCTAGATACTTGAACTATTCTGTTCAAGTAGGCTTCCAAAAGTTCCTTCTTGCCCTGATTCTATCACTTGCAAAGTTCTCCAAAATCAAATGAGTTTTTGCTGAAAATCTTCCATTGTTACTCAATATGAACAAACTTTTTTTTTTGGCCAGTCCTGGGGCTTGAACTCAGGATTTTGGCACTGTCCCTGAACTTATTTTTGCTCAAGGCTAGCACTCTACCACTTAAACCACAGCACCACTTCCAGCTTTTTCTGTGTATGTGGTACTGAGGAATCAAACCCAGGGCTTCATGCATGCTAGACAAGCACTCTACCACTAAGCCACATTCCCAGCGCTCACTACCTTGTTCTCCCATAACTAAAAACACCACACCAGACTATATCCCAGATTTCACTTGGAACAAAGACGGCGACTGGACTCATGGCTGAGAGGTAGAGTGCCTGCCTGCAAGTGGGGGATTCTGAGTTCAACCCTGGAGTCCGGCAATAATCAGTATTTTCAAATAGAAGTTAAAATCTAAGATAGTGTAATCTCAACTGAAAGATGCCATTTGAAGAACTTTTATGAGGGCTAAATGTAAAGGTCAAATACCTAAGGTAAGAAAGCTATTTACACAGAAGACAATTCATTTTTCCTCCAAGAAAGAAAGAGAGAGGGGGGAGGGGGAGAAGAGGGGGAGGGAGGGAGGGAGGGAAGACAACATACTGCCAGAAGATGGCTCACACCTGTAATCCTAACTACTCAGGAGGCAGAGGTCTAAGGATCATGGTTCAAAACCAGCCTAGGCAGGAACATCTGTGACACTCTCGTCTCCAATTAACCACAAACAGCCACAAGTGATAGACCCCTAGCCTTGAGCAAAAATACTCAGCACCAGACACTGAGTTCAAGCCCCAGGACTGGCACTCAAAATTAAGAGTACCAGGAAGCAGGTACTCTACTCGAAAGGGTGCAGTGGTGTTGGGTCAAGGGGAAAGGAGTGTGGAAAGGAGTACACGAATAAAGAGGAAAATGCAGTCAAGAATCCAATGTGGGCTGGGAAGGTGGCTCCGTGGTGGAGCGCTTGTCTAGCATGCAGGAAGCCCTGGGTTCGATTCCTCAGTACCACAGACACAGAAGAAGACAGAAGTGTTGCTGTGGCTCAAGTGGTAAGAGTGCTAGCCTTGAGCAAAAGCAGCTCAGGTACAGCGCCCAGGCCCAGAGTTCAAGCCCCAAAACTGGCACACACACACACACACACACACAAAGAACCCAGTGTATATCCTACAAAATTAAGAGTGAGGGAAGGCGTGAGGAGGGGAGGGACACTGATCAAGAGACACCGTACTCTTCATGAACTGATCTGCTAGATGCAACTCCTTTGCAGAACTGCTTAAAGACGACAAGAAAAAGCAATACTGCCAAGAGCCGCAACCCTCCCGAGGTCGTTCCGGTCTTGGCAAGTGTTTGCTTTCAAAGATCACAGCCTGTACCAACCCGCTTAAGACCCATCTCGCCGTTTACGTAACTCACTCCAGTACTTTTCCAGAACCCGGGGCCCCCGGGCAAACTGTGAGCGGGGTTTGGCGTGGCTTCCGCTCCCCGGACTCGGGGCGGCCGCTCGGCGCCGGCGGGGGCACGCTGCGCGCGCACCATCCCGACCCGACTCACCTCTCGGCCCGGCCAGCGTACGCAAAGGCGCGCTTGG